GGTGATCCTTCCGCCTCAGTCTTCCAAGTAGCTGGAACTACAGGCACGTGCCACTATGCCCGGCAAATTATTTGATTTACTGTAGAAAGGGGGTCTCACCATATTGCCCTAGGCTGGTCTTGAACCCATGGGCTCAGACAACCCTCTCACCTCCACCTCCCAAGTGCTGGGATTAGAAGCATGAGCTATCGCGCCCAGCGCAAGTAGATTTTAAAAACAGGCAAACAAAGCAGGAATGGCAGAAGGCTAGCTGATGTGGAAAGCCATCCGCTCCTACCACAGGGTGGCATTTCCAGGCCCTGCCTGTCCACGGCCACGGGACTGGTTCCAGTCAAGACAGCGTGAACATCCAGCATAAGGTACCAGATGCATGGAGTGAAGAGGCTCCAATGACATCAGTCTCAGCTGACGAGTCACCTTCTGGGTCTGCCTTTGGGACTAGGCTACAACCAAGAAACGTATACTGAACTCAGTGTGTTAACTTCATTTGTTAAGGCACAGAGATCCTGCAGTAGTCTGTTAGAGCAGTTTATTATTACTCTAATAAAGAGAGAAAAGATTATACATTTGGAGAAAGACCAAGGGAGTCTGACATCTGAAGAATGGAATTATATTAAAACAGAGAACAGAAAAAAAGAGAATTTAATTCATTTTTTAAAAACAGTGAAATTTCTCAGAATTGAAGGGTGTAGTTTCTAATGAAAACACACCCACAGAATCAGAGACTGGGCAGGGAGAGCAGGTGACGGGGTCAACCTGAGGGGAACAAGGAGATCTCATCCACCGCATCCATGGAAGGTGGCCTGACAAGGGCATCTAAGCCAGGGGGAGGGGTGAGTAAGGCATCCACATGGTAGGGGAAGGGGTGGCCTGAAAGGGTCAGAGTCTGAGCATCCAAGTAGGGGTCCTGGAACAAGAGACAGCCAAGCAGAAGCCTCAAAGACAGAGATGAGAGGTATTTCATGAAGAGGCACTGAAAAAGTAAGTAAATATGGGGACCAGATTTCTCAACCTCAGAAGATGTTACAAGTATAGAAAAGAACATTAGAATAGATACTGCAGTGACTTTAAAACACTGTCCCCACATTCTGAGAGGTAAAATCTATCACTCCACAGCCCTCTCTGCCCTTGACCACATCTGGGCTCTTCTGCTGCTGCTTGACCAGTAACAGAGGTAGAAGTGATGCCAGAACCAGGCCTGTCTCTGGTGGCTTGTTTTCGGACCCAGACACCGAGTGCTGTGCAGAAGCCCACAGCACGTGAAGAGGCCACAGATGTGTAGGTATCCCAGTCAACAGCCCCACTGAGGCTCCAGCTGACAGCCAGCATAAGTTACCAGATGCCTGGAGTGAAGAGGCTCCAATGACATCAGTCTCAGCTGACGAGTCACCTCCTGTGTCAAACCACCCACAGCCTTACAGTCTTTCTAGTGAAGGCCCTAGAAACTGTGAAGCAAAGACAAACTACCCTCCCTGTGCCATCCAAATTCCTGACAATCTGTGAACATAATAAAATGGTGGCTGTATATCATGTCTGTCAGTTGTGATGTGATTTGTTACTTAGAACAACTGAAATTAGAGATAACAGTGTGAACTCACAGATTTTAATATAGAAAAATATAGAATACAGAGAAAAATGGTATATGTATGTATTTATGCATGTATGTATATGTGCAGAGGTATGTACATATGTCTGGATGTGTTCTGACCACTGGGTGTGTTTTGACCACTCAAAAGTCCTGTCTGGAGCATGACACTCTACCTAGCACCCAGATTTTGGCCTCTAAATATCATTTCCTCTAAAAGGAACCATTTTCCACTATAATGATCCACATTAAGAGCCATGAACTGGATCCCTTTTCAATAAAAGGTATTATTTGGACAAATGGCTAAACTTGAATTGGGTCTAACGATTGGGTAGTAGGAATACCATATCCATGTTAATTTCCTACTTTTGCTAATGGCATGTGTTTATGTAGGAGAATGTCCTTGTTTGTAGGGAATATATACCTCACACTGCACAGGGTCTATATGTTCAAGATAACCTTGTGAGTTAGCAATAAATAGAAACTAGAGGGCTTTATACCTTAAGAACTTCGCCTCCAAAAAAATCTCAGGAATTATACTGAACAGAAATCTAAATGTATTATGTGAATTTAAGATTTATATTTGTAGGAAATTTTTACAGTTTAAAAATTCTTTTTCTTTTTTTGAGTTAGTCTCACTCTGTTGCCCAGGCTTGAGTACAGTGGCACATTCATGGGTACCCCAACACTGACCAGCTGAGTTCTGGCAATCCTTCCGCCTTAGCCTTCCAAGAACCTGGAACTACAGGCCCATGCTACCGCATCCAGCTAATTTTTGATTTATTGTAGAGATGAGGTCTTGCTAAGTTGCCCGGGCTGATCTTGAGCCTGCAGGCTCAGGCAATCCACTTGCCTCGACCCCCAAGTGCTGGGATTTCAGGCTGAGCCACCGAGCCCAGCCTAAAAATTCTTGATAAATTAATTCTAAGTCCCTTGAGACCCGAGGCATTAAGTTATGTGATGCTTGACTTTACATGTTATAGTACCAGGAATACTGGAAACTGCAGATGTTCATACAGAAACCTCAGCAGGTAAAATCAGAGGGCCACTGCCATCTGGAAGCTTCCTGCACACAAGGAACAAAGGTGGCAGATCTGGCTGGGCACAGCTTACCCGGGAGCAGGCTTCTTCTGAGGGAGGCGGCTGGGTGGCTGGGGGGGTAGGGGTGGGGGTTTGCTCTGTGAGATCCCAGGATGCGTGGGCTTGCTCGGCTGGCTCAAGGCGTCCATCACACTGGGCGTCTTGGCTACAGGAGGGGGAGGCGTAGGAGTCAGGGGATCTGCAGAAAGAAAAGGACAGAAACACCTCACTAAGGTCAGCCTCCTGGGCTTCCCACTGTAGTCTTCTCGCTGGAGGGTTTCCCAACAAGGGTTTCCCCTCTCTATTACTATTTTCTAAGGAAAAAACCTGCTGCTGTTTTCTTGCTAATTTTCAGAGAACTGTATTAGTGGGGAATGGGAGCAGGGAGGACTTTCCAAACTTATATAAGGAAGCTCTACAAGCCTAAAGTTATGATGAACATTTTTCTATTAGTCTGTGAGTATTTTCTCAACTAGAATTCCTTGTGTGGAAGTCAACACAACTCTAAGACCCACAGCAGGAGGCTGGGGCCCTAGACTCTGCCCTGGAAAGCCAGGCCTTCTTGGGCCATCCCCTTTTTGCCTTGGTTGATCACCAGAGGGATGAGGCCGTATCCATCTTACCAGGCTGCTGAACAGTGTGTCAATTCTGAATACAATGAGAAAATAAAATGGTAAAGGCTCCACAATTTGTGAAGGGGGAAATGGCATTTTGCAGGTGAGGAGGCTGAGGCCCAAAAGGTGAGGTGATCTCCTAAAGGGTGACGGCTGGCCAGAACCAGAGTGAGGCTTTGAGCCAAGTCTTCCTGCCTCCCAACCCCCACAACCCTGTTTCTCCCTAGCTGATGAGTGTTAAAGCCCTCTCTAAATGTCTGGATTATCATGGTGGTCCTTGCTAAAGGTAGTCATCTGCCTCAGGATGGGCTAACAGAGGGAAGGAGGCCTTCAGCTTACCAGAGAGAGACTCAGGTGGGGCAAAATTAAGGGACCCAGTTTAGTCTTTTTTCATTGTTTCCTTTTAAAAAATTATTTTAAAAGAATTCAAAAAAGCAAACTTAGCACACAAATCCAGTCCCGGAGACAACAGACAGAGAGGCAGGTAAGTGGGCGCTGGCGTACTATGTGGCCCCTTGCTGTGTGGCCCACCTGGACAGCCCCCCAGAGACCCTCCCAAACACACTGCTCCCGACTCTGTCACCCAGCTGTGCACACATGACAGTGACCCTAGCTGGGGCTAGGCTGCTTTTCATTTTAACATAGTCTAAGAAAGCCATAAGCACCCTGGCCTAGGAATTCTCATGCTCTAGAAGCAATGAGCCCAGGAATTCTGGATTTCTCCTTCCCAGAGCTCATGTAGAGCAGGAGACCAGGCAGTGACCCAGGCTCACTTTACTGATCCAGTAAAAAAAGACACCCTGGTTCTGCATGTTGGAAAAAAGCATCTTCCTAAAAACCTCCTCTGAGGTTTCCCTCCTCGAGGTCTGGGGGACTTTCAACTACATGCTGACACTGAAAAAAACACATGCCAAATTATGACCCCAAATACTGAAGATCACCCAATGGCCAAAGGAAAAGGACATCCTTGGGTACCGTGTCAGGGAAGAAGTGTGGCTAAAATGCTTCGGGCGACATAGGAAGGGAGTGAGGGAGCCACCCTGGTGGTGTGTGGGGGAAAGACAGGAGTCTGCAGATGAGGAGGAGGAGGTTGGGAGGGACAGAGGCCCTGTGGAAGACCCACATGTTGTCCCGCAGCAGCGGGCACTTGGTGAGTGTCTGCGCCAGCGGGTGTGGGACTGCCGTGAGTGCCCCCCTGCCATCTAGACCTACAGAGTCCATGGGCAAGAAAGGAAAAAAGAAGAAACGTACTGGTAGATGTCACGCGAAGAGGGGGCAGCGGTGGATGGACAGCTGGCGGATCTGACGAAGATCGCTGCCTGCTTCCACCGTCCACACTTACAGAGTTTGTCTTCCACGGGGTGTTAGCTGAGGAGGCTGTCTGAACTGAACCCACACGCACATACACACACATGCATGCACACATGCACGTGCACACACACGGAACAAAAACAGAAACAGAACACTGCGTTATTGATCCTCTCCCTTATAAAATGGTCAACAGGAGCCTTTTAAATAGCACCTTGAACTTTTTTTATTACTGTCTGTGGTATCTGGAAGACACATACTGATATGCACTAAACCAAAGGTGCTTCGGGGAATATTCTCAGCTGGTTTTCAATCTGTGAAATTTAGAAATTTCTGATTTCATTTCTCAATATAAATACTGTCTGAAGAGGGGAATAAACACTCACAGTGATCTCTCCTGAGCACTGCATTCAGGCTATGGAACTGTGACTCCTCTGCCCTTCCATTAAGTCCTTCCTGTGGGCTGTGGGAGTCACCGCTATGCAAAGAGAAGCACCCCGTTCCCAGCCTGGGCTGGTGGAGAGGGGTACAAATCAGACACAGGGGAGGGACTCCTGCTACTGATCTCCTTCAAACATATTTCTGGCTGGAAGTCAGCACAGATGAGGTTCCGGTGATCCACAAAAGAGATGGCATTTCCTTGGTTACAAGTCCTACCTCTACCTCACAAAGCTCAGGTTCAGGTGACCCACAAAAGAGATGGCATTTCCTTGGTTACAAGTTCTACCTCTACCTCACAAAGCTCCAATCTCAAGTGCACAGGGCCCAGGTGCAAGATGTGATTCTGTGTTTGTGCATAACCCACAAGGATGGCTGGGCCTGGAAATGAGAACCAACTGCACCTTGCTAGGGCCTGGCCATGGGGGCCAGAGAAAGTCTTCGTGCTCCTCTCATGGCGAGCAAGGTCTGCCCTGAGATGCAAGACTGGCAGTCAACTCCCTTTGCTATTTATTTGTTGTGTGGGAGTTCCATCCTACACCAAGTGTGGGGCTAGATGGAGGGCAGGGGGAGATGGATGTGGAGGACAGCAGGTAAGAAGTATAATCTACATCATTGGAAAAAGAAATGAAGCTGAAACAAAAATGGCAAAAAAGAAAAAAATCAAAACCATCTCATTCCAAGACTTCAAGAAACTAAGAAATCAAGAGGAAGCGCTTACTATTCTGTTTCAATTACCCAAGAGAGCAAAATAAAATTTTTCTTCATGTGACACACTCGGTCAGTAAGTCACTACTGGGAATGAAGATGATCAAGTCATTCTGACTCTGGGCCTTACAGAATTAATATTCATCTACAGGATTCAGGAGGCAGCAACAAGAAGGCCAAACTTGCCCTGGGCCCTGCCTAGCCAGCCTGGGAAGGGCAAGAGGGAGGAGGCGGCAGCTGTGGGACTTGACCTCATCACCGCCTCTTCCTTGTTCAGGGACATCCACATCAAGTCCAGGGCTGGACACTGTCTGGGATGCGAGGTGCGTGGGGCAGTGAGTGGGCTGGCTTCTGGACCTGTCGATTGCAGGGCCTGTTCTCAGCAGGTCTGCGCCTGGGGGTGTGATTCAGTGGCCTGCTTATCAAGTTCATCATCACTTCTCTGGGCTTTCCTGACAGGGGCAGAGAGGTATGGGAAGGTCTGCAAGACACCTAGGACAGCAGGGAAAGATAGAGCCCAACCACACTGAGCGCATGATGCAGCACTAATGCTACAGCTTACAGCTGTCAGCCCTCCCGTGAGCCAGGTCTCCCAGTCACACTACCAACCTCAACTACTCTCCCCTTCTCAGCTATTAGCTACTGCATAAACACAATTTGGGATGTGTTTTGGAATGTGGCTCCACTCCATCAGCAGCTCATAGCAGCCACAGCGCCTGGATTCATGCTCTGTAGAGGCTCTTGTCCTCTTAGGCCATCCCTCAACAAAGCCTGAGTGGCCCTTCTTCACATAGGAAATGCTCTGAAGGCCACCACCATGGCTGGCAGCCCAGCTCAGGGCTGAGCCCGGCACTCACTGGACCCGCCTGCCTTCAAGGAGCACAATAGCCAGCTGGTATTCAGAACTGGACATCACTTAACTTTTGGGAACTTCAGTTTCCTATCTATAAAACAGAAAAATCACCTGTTGAGTCAAACTTGCCATTCTGTGACAGAGTGGCTGAGGTAAGGGTGGTGTGCTTTTAGCCATAGGGTATTGGCAGAATCTACAGTGCTGGTTTTGTATTTTACAACGAGGCTGAGCTTTGTTCCTCAAATTAGTATCTTTTTATCCTTCATTGCACAGGGAGCAGAGGTAAGAAATAATCACAGGTGCCACAAGCTGGCCCAGATGCAGGCGGAGGAGAAATTAAAAAGGAAAGAACAGTGGCATGGGAAGGGGAGAGAAGTAAAGAGAAAGGAGCAGAAGGGCGCCCCGCAGAAAATGTCTCCCAGCCCCACCCTGGGAGTCTACCCGACCCCCTCGGCTGCCCTGGGGGAATCCTCGCATCACCCAAACCATGCAGGTGCCACAACTCTGCCCAGAGTAGGAATCAAGTCAAGAGAATCTGCCACAATATGTCATCATAAGAATGATGGAATCCCTTTAGGAAGCAAATGGAAAATAGCTACAAAACAAAAGAGCCCAAATGTCACCTAGCTGGGGGCAAAGCAGCTGCAAACTTCCCAAAACACAAAACAAAACAATCACAGGGCACCGCTGGTGACTTCCTACCTTTGCCAACATTCCGTGGAGGCAGTGGGGGGGCACTGGTGGTACTGGGGGCTGTAGGCTGTGTGGAAGGCGGGCTGCCGCTCAGGATGGCTCCATAAGTCTCATTCTGCAAGATGCTGGGCACAAAACTCCTCTGCTTATCCTTGGCAAGGTTTGCAGCATCTCTTGCCAAAGATGCAGCATTAGACTGAAGCTGGTTGGACCCCAGCTGGTAGAAGCTGACGGGCCGGTCTTCCCGCCGGTTGGGACTAGGCTGCAGAGGAAGGTCGAAAAAGAGGCATATGAGATAAAGATGAGAATCTCTCCTAGTGATAATATTCAGTGTAGTAGTGACAACCTCAGAGACACCACTTTTGGTTGGTCTGGTGCCATTTGAGCTCTCAAGTGTCACAAAAGAGCGGCAAAACTGAAAACTCACTCTTCTCATATCTTATAAACGAAATACACACACCAAAAAAGCCTTGATCTACAATTTACAATTCTCTGTTCAGTGATGGATTTAAAATATAACCGATTTCATTTTAGTAGCCAGAGTTATCTCAACCTAGCCCTGCATTTTCCCTGAAGTTCCCTTCCTAAACATGCTTTCCATGTTATACAACAGTATAGCCAGCTCTGGCCACTAGCTGCAATCAATCTCAACAGTTGTACAGGTAATTCAGCGGAGATCTGTGTTTTCATCCCATATGAACGGGACTCTTTTCCTCCAAATCATGGTTAGCAAATGATGGCCTGTGGGCCACCCTGTTTTTGGAAATAAAGTGTTACTAGAACAATGCCATGCCCTGTCATTTACATATGGTCTAAAGCTGCTTTTGAGCCACCCTGGCAGAGCTGAGTAATTGCAACAAGGACTGTGCTATTTTAGGCCCATGAGCCTAAATTATTTACTATCTGGCCTGTTAAGAGTTTGCCCACCCTTGCTCTACCTGAAGGTCATGTGCCTCACCAGAAATGGATGCATGGAATCATGATTCAACTTGGATTTAACTCATATATCAAATGGCAGCCTCATTATACTAGCTATCATCTTGAACAAATCACTTAATCTCGGCTGAACCACATTCTCTGCTGTTTCATGGGTATAACTGAACTGCTGGACAGTACCAGGAGCTTAGCATGTGTCAGCTGTGGCACCCCTTCCTCCCTGTCACGCATCATCCACACGTTCTAGGTTCTGGCCAAACTAATGGCTCAAACCCAGTTCAGGTGGGCAGGACTCCAAGCCAGCCCTGGCTCTGTACGTTTACTTGGACTATACAACTTGCTTCATCACGTACTCAAACCAAGAATGTGTCATAACTGCTCGATTAAGAGGTGCTCTGGGGTAGGTTGTTTCAAACTCCTTTTTAAAGGCAGGTAAGTATGAAATTGGTCAGCTCTTCTCACTTTGATACTGTTTTGCGGCTAACTCAGTGAAGTAATTTCTTATTCTGTATTCTAAGAAACCATAAATATAGATGTTAAGCAAGGACAGTTCAATAGGTTTCAGAAATGGCATCCATCCATCCATCCATCCATCCATCCATCCATCCATCCATCCATCCATCATTTACACCAGATCATTAAAGTCCAACAGTAAAAAAATTTAGACTGGCCAGGTGTGGTGGGCTCAGCCTGTAATCCCAGCACTTTGGGAGACCGAGGCAAGAGGACTGCCTGAGCCTGGGAGTTCAAGACCAGCCTGGCACTTGATGAGACCTTGTCTCTACAATAAATCACTAAAATACTAGCCATGCATGGTGGCATGCATCTGTAGTTCCAGCTACTTGGAAGGTAGAAGGATCGTCTAAACCCAGTAGGTTGAGGCTGCGGTGGCTGTAAGCATGCCACTGTACTCCTCCAGCCTGGGCGACAAGAGTGAGACTCCAACTCAAAAACAAATGTTTTTGGTTTTTTTTTGAGTCGGAGTCTCACTCTGTCTCCCAGACTGGAGTGCAGTGGCCGCTCTCAGCCACCACAGCCTCGACCTGCTGGGCTCCGACGATCCCTCCGCCTCAGACTTCCAAATAGCTGAAACTACAGGTGTGCGCTACCACGCCGGGCTAATTTTTGATTTATTGTAGAGATGAGGTCTCACCAAGTTG